GGGAGGCCGGGGGGGGGGTAAAGCAACCTTGAGACGTAAATGTACACATGATAAAATAGTGCATGTTTAATTTGAAGCTTTGGTTAACTCCAGTTACAGTTGGGAAAGTTTGGTCGAAGTTTTGTCTTCAAGTTGGAAAAAAAAAAGAGGAAAAAAATAGCTGACGTGTCTAGTGCGTCACCATGCACAATTTCCTCCTTCAGCAACAAAGTGAAGTTGAATTCCTCATTTTTAAATAGCATATCAACACGCTCGGAAGCCAACAATAACTGTTAACGCGACTGCACATTTGAATATGCACATGAGGACTCGGTTACTATTTCCTTAACGGTGCCATGTTAGTGGCTGTTGGCTTATTTAACATTCGCTCCACCTACTGTTGCAAGCAGGATTTAGACTGTACACACAAGGAAGGTGGCGTTACAGTGAAAGGGCCTGCTCATAGCCACAGTGTAGCCTATATTCAACCCAGAAAGTGATCAATTATTTACCCTTGCCCTTACTAACCAGTAGCCTTTGAATAATGCAACAGACCACTGGCTGTCGAGACTCACAGGAAGTTGAGTAAAACTTACTCTTGTAAGCTGAAGTGCTCCCTGAGTATTGATTAGTTGTCTGTTTGTAATGAAAGCCCTTGTGTATTGATTTCAGTTTGCAGCACCTTTACATGTGTCCACCTTTTTAACATAATTGCTGTCACAGATCATCATTTCCCTGAGTGATGAGTCCTGGGCAGAGAGCCCACAGAAGAATACACATCCCAGGCTTAAAAAAAAAAATACCGATAGCCTACTAATGTGAAAAATGCCTATCAATCCTCAATTTTATGTGAGTTATAGTATCTTATATAGATCCTTCATTTGATCAATAATGTCAGCTGACTGACTGGCAACTGTACTTGGGTTGGGTTTCATAAATTTTACATGGATGAAGATTTACTACAGTGGTGGTCCAGTCTTTTTTTTTTGGTCCAGCACAGTCCCTGTCTGCTGTAAGCCACTGCTGGCCCAAATGTTCAATGACCAAAGATGCAGGTTGGTCATTACCACAGACTGTTTGCTGTAGGCCTGAGTTTCTCTGCAAGGAATGCAAACAAACACAGAACTGCTGCAAGATTCACATCAGTGTGTAAAATGATGTGGACCCAACACATGATTTCTGATGAGGCTGCATAATGGATTCAGATTGCACATAATGTAACATCAACACCTTAGATTTGACTGCTGTGTCTCATGATGCAACAAACACAAAACTACAATGTCTAGCTTTTTTTTTTTTCTAATTTCTCATTTACTTGCTCAAAATTCAGATTAGGGAGTAAAATGGTGTGCATTTACGCATCACGCAACACAAAGGGTAAAGAGGCCAAAGGTGACACAACACATTTGATCTGCAAGCACAAACTGACAAAAAGATGAAGGTTTCATTAAAGGTCACATTAAAGGATAGTGAAGTGTGCATTCACACACCTTATGAAACATTTTCCTCGTGATATTTGTTGTAAGATTGCAATATTCTAAGATACAACAAACACAGAACTACAATTTCTAGCTTTTGCTCACTTGCACCTACTTCGGCATTTAGATTAGTGGGTAAACATTTCTCTGATCATGCCACTCTGAGGAAAACAGAAGGTGGTAACAACACCTTTGACTTCTGTAGGATTCATTTTATTCATAAAACACATTAGCCACTCATCTGATCCAAATCCGTGCACTTGAGAAAGCCATTTGCTCACACCCACCCACGCACACAAAGACATCTCCTCGCAGTACTGTTAGTATCTTTGTAACCTCTTTCTGTATCTCTCTGAAGGGGATCATCTGTAGGAGTAACTCATTAGCGCTACTGTGTAACTTGTAAAAGAGTCATTAGTGAAAGTATGCTTTCCTCTGGAGGTTGTATTGGTTTTGGCACAAAACAAAGTCTCGCGTATTCTTCGGTGCTGAAAGGCCTCCACAGACCTGCAGTAACCTGATCTCCTGGCTCAGTGTATATACTCCCAGTGCGTCATTCTTCAATTATGCTTTGACAGCACCTGAATTACTGTGGGCTGGATGCCCAGATGACTGAGGCAATGTGTATCGATCTATCCCTTTTCTTCTTCCCTCTCCTTGGCTTGGAAGGCCCTTCCATTCCCTTTGCTGGCTGGCTATTTTTAAGCGTGCAAGTCATTCCTCAAATATTTAGTTTGATTCTTTTATGCCTTCTGGCCAGCATCAATTCTATTATCTTTGGAGCCATTAATCAGAATGTGCATGTGATTTGCACTCCTGAAAGCTGAAGTTCATAATTACGTACAGTTCCTCTGTATTGGTTCTTCATATTCGCTGCCCTCTAATTCTCAGGCTTGCCTACCTTGACATTCATTTCCTTAAAACCCAGATGTCGACATTTATCCTATAACTGACCTTTCCATCTGCTATGCTTTTCCAAGTGGCTAGAGGCCTGTTAACCTTCCTCCCTATGAATTGTTGCGGGAGACATTGCACTACACCTGGCACACTGACTCCATTATGCAGCAGCAGCACATTTTCTCACCAGCAAAGACTCACTGACGACTTACCCACAAAGTCAGGGATGAAAAATCAAGATATAGCTGCGGCTCCTGTCATTCATTGCACATAAGTAGCACAGATGATACTTTAATGTGTGACCCAGAAACCTCAGAGGAAAAAATGGAGACATTTGTCATTAATGCAATGTTTGAAAGGATTTGTAAACTGTTAAACTGTCATTGACACAGAAAGGCCTAAAGGCAAATTATTAATGATTCTGATGTTAATGGACTGTAAACGCCACCAAGTTGTTTTGAATCGCCAAACATTTCTCTGACTACTTTTCTATACATCTGCAATATGCATGGGCACATTTTGTACTACTATTTGCTGAACTTAGTCTAGTACATACTTCAAAAGTAACACATTTACAATAAAGATGTGAAACACTACAATCTTTTAGAGTCAGACGTGTCGATTCAAATCTTCGGTCATTTTTCAGGCTGTAGTTTGTGATGGTGTTGCATGAGGTTGCATTAAACTGTACAGGTGTTTCTGTTATTATGTCCACACCAGATAACACTCAATTCCCCATCCACCTGTTTTACAGCACCAAAGAATTTGCAATGTGCCTACAGGCTATTGCTTGAGTTGATACCACAGTGAAATACATCTTTGATATGCAAACAGAAAAATGACTCCCGGGTGAAGACTTTAAATCAACCAACTGGCTCTGGGCCAATTCCTTGGAAATCATTATAGTGAATGCTTGAATATTTGTTTAAATAATTTCTTCTGTATCAAACAAACCTGTGATTATTTATTTATTTATTTATTTATATCCCTCCTTATCATGCAAATTACCAGGTCAGCATTATATAGATCTGTAATAGATCTATAATAAATATTTGATTTAATTTCTGAGCATTTATACAAAAGTTATAACTACAGAAAATTACACTGACCAAAGTTTATTAGGCCTATACGATTTTATAGAACTTTCCTGTTTCAACTCTGGAATAATGTTTCATGTTATTTCCAGTTTATGGGCGTGGATAATTTTATTCAGAAGGGTTTTGTGCTTCTTTTGTGGATAACCTCATTGATCTTGCTGACGACTGTTTTCATGTCCTCTGTTCCCAGCCAGGATGCACATGACCTGTGGGTTCAGTATTGTTGGCTCGGGCCTCGGTGCTGTGGAGGCTGGAAGCAGCAGCAGCAGCAGCATCTGCACGGATGGCCATCCCACGGTGAACGGGGCCCCGAGGACCAGCTTCAGCACCAAGCAGCTGACAGAGCTGGAGAAGGAGTTCCACTTCAACAAGTACTTGACGCGGGCCAGGAGGGTGGAGGTCGCCAGCGCCCTGCAGCTCAGCGAGACGCAGGTGAAAGTTTGGTTTCAGAACAGACGCATGAAGCAGAAGAAATTACAGAGAGACGGGCTGCTCTCAGACCCGGGGCCCGCGGCACCGCACTCACACGCCGACACTCTGGACACCTGCCCCTCTTCTGGACCGTCCTCGCCAAAACACCTGCCCCTGAACTCCTGAGCCGCAGGAGCTGCGCCATGCGTTACGCAGCAAGGGCGTCTGCCTGCAGATGTTTTGATTCCCGTTTGCATCGGTTTCAATCAGGCTTCACCATTATTTGCTTACCACGATGGATGCTTATCGCAAGAAGCGCAATGGCAAGTTTCTTCATGCAAGAACGGGTCAAAACAATTTGTCATCCTCCCCGGCTTCAGACTGGCGCACTGATTTGAATATTAAAATTCAAGTCATTCCATTGCGCTCCTATCTACACAATGTAAACGAAGAAACAAAATTATATTAATTGCCCATAGAAACTGTGGCAGACTATTTGTTTATTTATTTTGAACAATTCATTCAGGAAATGGCTTTACTTGAATAGATTTATTCTGCAGGACACGTGCTTCCTAGTTTTGTTTAAAATAACACGAAATAATTTTATTTATTTATTTAAGGTCTACATTGGACCGTGTTTATTTTATTGACACAGAAAGAAAATATATTAGAGTGAGTCTGGCTAATTATTCCACCAAATCACACTGTTGGTCTTAATCTTAATTCATGTTCCAACATTACAGAGATTTCTTTTATTATTATATCCATTAAAAGGCTGTTTGTGCCTGAGAGCCCACATTTGAGGAAAAAGTCAGCTGCACCTTTTTGTAGACAGACATCTCTAACGTGATCATCATCAGGCTCATTTTGCAGAGCTCTCATGCTGCTTTAATGTTGTGTATTTTGTCCGGTTTTTAGGTTTTTCATTATCCGTCGTCCATGGAGAGATTAAACTACCGTAATTGACTGATAGATTTATTGACTGCCCGTATTAGGAGTATTGATCCGTGGTGATCCATCTATTTGAGGCACAAATCTGGGAGCGTTTGCATGCATCTGTAACTGCACGTTAATGGCATGTAGAAACATCACGATCGGGAGTTGTTGCGTCTTTTATTACCCCTATACATGCATCAGAAAATGATAATTTAGCTTGAACACTCATGCGGGAGAGAAGACAATAAAACGCTGTCTGGGCTGTTTTGCAGATCAACCAATAAATTGTGTGGTCCCCAGCAGTTCGAGCAGCTAAATATTCCTTCCAGATTCACATCTCATCTCGTATAAAGTAAATGATTGTAAACTCGGCCCTTAAACACTGTTATGTTCCCAGTATTGCAATGCATTTCTGTCACGTTAATGTCTGTTCTAATATCAAGATATGAGCCATCAGCCGCATTAATTCTCTGTGAGGGAATATTTTTGTTTAGCTTTCAATTAGCGTGTGTTTGCACTGGATATGAAAAGGTTACCACATCCAAAGCGAATATTAATGACAACAAAGGAATTAAAGTTAAAGCAGCTGGGGGTTGTCGCTTAGAATTTTTTATTTTTTTTTAAAAGCCAGAATTATAATGAATTAATTAGGTCCGTTTTAAACCTTTAATAGGTGTCCTCATTGGAATTTGTAGTATAAATAAAATGCTGCTTATAATATAATAATTAGACAGTGGAGTGGACATGAAGGCTGCAAGGCCAAGCTAATGCATGCAGTTACACCAGAGTTCACCTCTCACCTCTTGACCTTTGTCTTGCCTCGGGACAACGATGACCCGGTCAGCGGCTCAGAGAGAGAGAGATGCACAATTCATTTGGGTGACCTCGGAGTCTAAGCTTTTTCTTTTCTTTCTTTCTTTCCGTTTTCTCTTTTTTCCAACAACTCCAAACGCTTTTGTTGTGGTTGTGGGTCTCCATGTCCACACAATAATATTTCATCCAGCTGAATAGAGGGGCGACCAGGCCATATGATAATTGTTCATATTATAATTCCATACCAGGCTGCATAATGCATTTTTTCTACACCTAGAGCTAACCTAATTTTTGCCCTATCTCTTATTTTAATAAGCCCAAAAATATGTTACTGGCTCACTTTATAAACTGGATGAAAGAGTCTTTTTCGCCCAATAGGTTTTTTGGATATAAACTACAGACCTATTTTTAATAGCAAAGTTGAAATATTAAAGTTACTGGAGCATACTTAACACTTAATATGATTCCATGTCAGAGCCAGTATAAACAAAATTTAGAACAACTATTCATTACATGCCGCTGTTTATATATTTCATGCATATCTTGCTTGAATAATTTTTAAAGAATTTAGAAATGAATCCCCCCCAAACAATATCTTTTATGATGTTCATCTCATTAATATTAACTGAAAGCTAGGAAGAAATACAAATTCAGACTTAAAGGTCTGCAGAGGAGCTTTTGACAGTGCAAACATTTAAGTTTTATTTGTAATTGATCCGAATGATTTTACTTGCAAGCTAGACATAAAATGTGTACAGCCTAATTTATTTTAAATTTGCATTTATACAAAGTACAGACCATTAAGGCCGTCTTTCTCTAAACAAAATAGTGCAAAGTGGAATGTTAAACAAAACCATCAAATGTGTCCGTCTTTTTTTAATGCAAATCAGAGTGCACTTGTGAAAGTTAGGAGGAGGATGATGAGGACAATGATGATAAAATGCGATGATGAAGTTGGTGAATATAAAAATGGCCTCTCATGTCCACTGTTCCTGCTGAGAAGTGTGTTAGGTTGACCTTATTAGAAACTCTTTTATCATCTTGTGCAAATATGTTCCCTTGCCACAGGGCTTCAAGTTACAGGTTGTAATGTGCACAGAGGATGCATGCAGCAGGTGTGCACTCAGACTTTTTTTAAAAAATCCGAACTTACTTCATTACAGTTTCTACTAAGTAATTGATTCACTTAGAAATACACAATTCGAAATAGTAAATGTGTGGAAGAAAAAAACAACTTAATGTGAATTATAGGGATGAAAAAGAAGAGTTGATTTATTTTGGGTGAACTATCACTTTAATTTCATCCTGTGGCAGCTTCAGCATTTGCCTCTCAATTGATGAAAGGCAAACCACATTGTTTGTTCAGACCTGACATTTAGTTCGAAAGCATTTGAGTGTGACTCTACTCTGATGAATTTGTGCTCTTCTGTAATTCCTTCCTGAAGATGTATGGCCGGTTCACGAGACTGACAGCTGTGCTGTGCTTATACACAAGCAAACACATGGTGAATGGAAGGTAAATAAAACACCCCAAAGAAAACGCATAATGTATTGCTGCCACAGGTAGTAACAGTCGAGATGCTGAACAAGTTAGAATTGCTTTCACAATATTTTTTTTAATTTCCTTTAATTTTCTGAGAATGAAATTCCCTCCAAAATCTACTTTATTTAACTCATTTATTTAACTCAATTATAAAAACATTTATGATAAAGTGCAATAGCTCAAACATAATTTGTAAAAGTGAAGTTACCTGCTATTATTTTGAATAAAACACTCAAATTGAGATATCGAACTAAAACCAGTGATGTATCCATTCATGATGAATGATGCTATTGACAGTCTTGGTTTTCTTCTGCATTGTCTTCTATTGCAAGTTAGCTGATGTGGGCAGCTGTTGCAGTTCTCTTGAGGAGCGATCAATGAGAGAGCATATGCAACTTACAGATTATCTTACATTACATTTTAAATTAATACATATAAGTGGGTTCCTCACGAGCTCATTGTAATTAATGCTAAGTTGACCTAAAATTAACTTAATGCATAATATGCATGTAATATCCTCACCGGTGCTCAGGGGAATGAAATCAATTGATCAAGTTAAGCTCTTTCTAATTCTATGTGAAGCACTTATAGATAGCTCAGTTGTTGTTGTAATTACAGATCATTTGAATGTTCTCCTCCCTTTGAGTTTTTCTGTTCGTCTGATTTTACTGTTTTTCTTTATTTGCAAGGCTTTCATGGACTATTAGTCTTTTTGATCGTGCTCATTCACATATTTGACTACCAAACAATTTGTACATCAAGAAAGTTGAAATGAAGTGCACCTGTTTTTTGTGTGAGTGTGTGTACCTATGTATATTTGGATGCCCTGTGTACAATTACACAAATATGTGTTTTGTTTCCTAGGTGCTACTAATAAAGCGCTCAAAAAGATACAAAGCACCTATTTGAATAATTGTTCACTCACACGCGCATGCACACGAACACATACAAATCCATACATAACACATTCTGACAGAGCTACACTGAACAACATGCACACCAATCCAGTCCTTGCCTCTCCTCTCCTGCTCCACTCCAGGGAGCAGATGTTTGGGGACAGCTTACAGCCTCAGCGAATTTCTGTGTACAAAGCAAACAGCAGCACTCAGCACTTCTGGCTGCAAAGGGAAATTTGCTCTTGAAAGGGGGAGGGGTGGCCTTTGAGTCAATGTAAGGTATCATGAGAATGGGAGGAGAGGGGGAAAAAGAGTGAGAAGGGGTGCACGCAGAGGTGAAACTGTGTCAAGGTTGCAAGTCTGTTGCATAGGAAAATTCCCTGTTTCCTTAGACATCTGGTACTGTGTGGGACAGAATCATGTACAGCACATACAGTATCTCCCTGTGGCATCATGCAGCATCAGTGCAATCAACCAAGGTGGCCCTGCTACATATCTGATTGTGTGGAGTCTCTCTGACCTCTCCCATGCAGCTCTGTCAACTCACCAGTTCGGATTGCCCTTTCAAAAGTTGCAAACAAGCATAAAGTGAAGGGAAAAAAGGAAAAACAATGGAATGAGCCTTTACTCAATTTGCTGATACTGCATCTGATACATAACCTCGAACCAGCTATGCTAACGATGCCATTGATATAATCCACTGATTTAATGGCACTGGTCCTGTGGTGGTATGCTGCATGTGCTCTCTTCTTGTGTGTGTCTTGAGGAAAATTTAAAATATTACTTTTAAAAAGAATCACATCATCTTCACATCTTCTGGCTGACAAGACTTGTGGAAACATTTCATGAAACTTAAGTGTATGATATGAAAAGAGTTAAATAATAAATACATGTTTTGTTATTCTTTTTTTCCTTGCAAAATGTTTACAGTGCAGCAGTTAACCACATAATGCTCTGCAAGATGCTGCACACAGTCTTGTGAATAGACTCCAACATAGACATACACGCTTATTTCCAAACGTATGCAAGTACACACGTTTTGACCTCTCATCAGTGCATTATAATCCCTAAACAAACCATCATAAATGAGCCCTGCAATGCTTATTTGTCTGAACGAAGGCAACCCCCTACTCCTCTGCCCCTGGGGTGAGGTTGCCATAGTGACAGATTCATAGACATATGGAGAGGAGAGGAGAGGAGAGGAGAACGGGAGCTGGGTTGAAGGGGTGGGGCTGCAGGGGTGAGTTGGGGGGGGCAGAGGAGAAGGGGATGGGTACCGGTTTGAGGACGTTGCCGCTCTGTCTTTCAGATGTCTCTTTGTGTTTCATCTGTCAATCAGCCATCCGTGTCAGTCTGTGTTCAGTGAAGGAACAGTTCATGAACTTTTCTCAATCAAGTCTCTGTCAGGCGCCATCTTGGCTGTATTTCATGAGGGAAAGGATTGATTCTTGTGTCGGCTTCACAGCCCAAAAACCCCAGTATGTGCAGGGGCGCCGTAGGCAAATATTTCACTGGAAATGTGCATTATTAAATTGATTTGGAAGGCTGTGCTCACATTTTGCAATCTCTGGCCATTTTGTTGTTTACACTAATGACCAATCAACATTAGAAAAACAAACATACAGATGTTTTTTCTCCTCGCTAATTAGATTCAGATGATGTAATCAACCTTTCAGCCAACCTGAGGACAGCTTGACAATGGACAGGGAGAAAGGGAGCGAGGGAAAGGAAGAGAGAGTGAGAGGAGGGAGGGGGGTACGGGTGAAGCGGCCATCAGGACTGGCCTTGCTGCTATAAAAACACATTTTTTCATCAGCCATTTTATGCAAAAGGGGAAGACCAGGTGCTCAATCAAACCTCACGCCTACTGTTTTATTTTTCATCTTCACCCCTCCCAGTGCTTCTCCGCACAAACCTTCTCTGTGCCTTCCCTCTACCCTTGCGCCATTCTTTTCCTCTTCTTCCATCTCTACATATCATTCGTCTTCCCTCCTGCCTCTTCACTGCCTGCTCTCCAACTGATATGAGAGACTGACCCTTGGGCCCTCAGGGGTCAAGTGATACAAGGTCATTGGCAGGTCATCTCCACTGACTGGCTGACCTCTAAAAGGACTTCTGGAAGGAGCCAATCAGGTGTTGCTCCTTCCCCCCTAAGGCGGATCCCCCTCCCTAGCTCATCAGCAGCCTGTGTCACATGACCAGGGCAAGGCGTCAGAGGGAGGATGATTAATGATGCTTTTAGTACCTGTTTAGAATGAAGCTGTCCACACCGCACTGTAATTACCCACTCCCAGGCGGCAGCTGCCCAACATAATTGCTTTTTGTTTGTTGACCTGGTTTATTGAGGAGAAAGATGGCTTTGGCTGGGTAAGACGGTGCTATGTACAGTATACAGAGGTGAGGATGTATGTATGTTCAAAATTTGGATGACAGTGTGTGTTTGAGATCCATGTATCCTGTGTGTGCAGATATGGGAAATACAAAGTGACACAAGACATAAAGGTGCATCAGGCTCTATGCTACACATCCATGTCTTAAAACAAAATCAAACTATATATGGAGTTATGGTGTGTAGCCACAGACTGACAGTCAGGAAACACTGAGATATGCAACCCTCCCACTTAAGGTCAAAGACAGCTACACACCACTTGTGCAAGGTTACTGCATACCACTGGAATACAAGTATTCAACATCTCCAGTTAAGGAGGGGTGTGTTCTGCCATGCATAATTTATGTCAACATCTCAAAAGCAGGAGCACTGTGTTGCTCTAAAAATTCAAAACTAAGTTCAGAAGGTCAGTGGAAAACTGCACCTAGAGATCCCCCCTCCTCCTCCCTCTTTGGCTACATGCCTAAGGCAAATATGAAAATTTCAGTACCTGCGGTGCATGCCACGAGGACAGTGACAATGAAACCCAGATAAACAGCCCCTCGTTTGACCTATGGAGAGCATAAATTTACCGCCCATAAATCCTTGAGTGTTTCAGCACCGTTTGGCGCATTTGCCGTGCGTCTCTACCCAGACAGAGAGAGGCAAGTGTCGGGTATCAGTGCTGCTGTATGAGCAGCTTTCATCCTGCTCCTGGTTCTCACATAACTCAGTCCTGCAGCCTTTATCACCGCCTCATAAATAACTAGGCTATCGCCTGATAATGTCCGCTTAATGCTTAGTCAATAAAGCCCACAGTAAGAGGGGCCTTTTTTAGCCTCTCTCCTGTACATAAATATAAACAGTGCAGTAGATTGATGTGATGGGCAGGCTCTTTCTACACTGGGACAAAAAGAGGCAGCGTGTGGGCCCAGGAGCTGAAGGTGGGCTGTGGGGCTGCAGGTGTTTAGAGGAGATAGTGGGCTGTAATGAGGGGGCTGCAAGAGAAGGGCTGAGTGGATAGCCTTGACTGATCACCTGTGAAAGGCGCATACACACATATACACACAAATGATAGGACACAGACACTAACGCGCAAAGGCACATGCACACGTAGGCACACTCATTCACACACCCACACTCACACTAATGCCATCATTAGTTAACCCATTGGTGTCGATGCATGCTGCACAAAAGCTCATCCTCCCTATTTGAAGGGCATTAGAGCATTATGATAAAGACACTCACAAATGAACTGCTTTTGTATCTTGTTAGCATCTTTTCTTAATCTATTGACACATTTGCAAAACCAACCATACGCTGCTACCACAGATTTATATCCAGGGATGTAAGTTTCATTGTCTTGTGCACATTGCAGGGACAGTTATCGACCATTTGCACTAGTCATCAGACCATCCAATTCCAGTGCGGCGCCAGGGGCAGCTGTAGTCAGTGTGATGGCTGGAATGGGATCTGACTGAGCCCTGGGGAGACAAAAGAGACTGACAGGGATGTTGCTGGGTTGAACGAAGGGGCTGATTGTGATCCATGAGTTAGTCAGTGCAGCAGCACCTGGGCTTGGAGCAGCAGCTGGGAGAGATGGGCAGGGTGACGCACAGTGGGTTCAAAATGAGAGAGATGATCCAATCAGCTCATATTGACATGCTTGGTGGGGTGCAGTTGGTGGTTTGGTTGTTATATGAGTGTTTACTCTACACACATTCTGTCAGGTCAGGTTCTGGTAATTCACCAAAAAGAGCAGAAATTCCTGCTAATTTATTTCCCCATTTCAAATCCTAAAGTGATCGGAATATGGATTTGTTTCATCAGAGGTATATTTTTTCTGTTTGACTTGAGCTTTCATTTTCACTAGATAAACCTAATGTAGCTATTGAAAGAGACCTTTGTATCACTTCACTATAGCTAAGCTTGCCAAAACCACATTCGTTCGCTGTCAGCTCAACTATGACTTTGTCTTTGAGGCACATTGTCTTCCAGATAATTCCAAGATGTCATCCAAGGCGAGTGTCAACTACAAAGAAGTTCAGATTAAAAATAAACTGACAATAGTAGGGTAAACACATGTGTTACCAATGATACTAATTAAGGTTACCTTTGGTGGAGCCTTGCCAGTGAGCTGTTCTATTCATGTCAGATACTTGTTGGCTCTTACACCAAATGGAACTGAACCTTAATTAATATCATTGATAACACATGTGTTTACCCTACTATTTCATGTCAAAATTGCTGCTGTAAAAAAAGGTCTATTGTATTCACCAAAACATGACATTGGCAAGCTATCATGATATTAAAGCTATTATTTCTCCAATCTGTGAGAAAGTTTACCTCAAAACAAAAAATGTTTACTGTTAAAGCTTCTGAGATTACAACTGGTTTACATTAAACTACATGAATTTATTACAAGAACAAGCTGAAAAGATCAAACTACATATTATATTTTAGTAATTAGCATATGCTAGAATTCTTTGTCATCAAGCAGAAGATATCTTTAATATCAACCAAATATACGACAAAGTCAAACAACAAAAAAACAAGACCATGGTGCGCTCTAAGAATAACTCTCAAGGAAAAAATAATTAAATCATAATTAATGCATAACATGTAAAGC